GAGTCGCATATTTTTGGACTTGAGACTTGTTTGACTAACATTGATAAAAGACTTGACTTAAGCTTGAAATGGATGACTTGAAAGGACTTGACTTTTTAAAATTAAATATTTGCGTTTGTTTTTGTATTGAGATATTACGTTTAGTTTTTCGAAACGTGATTGGGTGATTAAAGCGCCATGCGCGCAAACCTGGCAACCCTCTAGAAGGTAGGAGTGTCAGTTAACATGGCAGCGGCTAGCTTTACTCCAAAAATAGTCAAATTTGGATTCAAGGATTATGTTGTCGATGACGGTAATAAGAAGAGAGCAGCGGTATACAGGGTCTGCAGCATAAAGATCAGTGACAGGACCGCCACAACATCCAACTTCATTCGTCACTACAAAAAAAACCCACAGAGAAAGGTACGTGAATGTGTTTAAGCTACGTTAGACTTGGTTTCAAATCGATTAAGCATTGCAAAGAGAAGACAAAACGGGGTAAATGAACACAAGAACCGCCAAGGGATTCATTTTGACTAACCCTGATACTGACGGGCTGTCAGGAGAGGAGAGAGAGAGAGAGAGGAAAAGAGATGCCTCGTTTATTTCCCCTGTGTTATTATCAGAAGTTACTGTAAACTTTTGAATAATGTAGTTCATCTACTTTTAGTAGTTTGTTTAAATGTTTTAATTATGTTGTTTTTGTTTGTAGAAGTGCATAATTCCTTGATTTATTGTAAAATGAATCTGAACTTTTTGATCTGTTATGATGATAAACTGAAGCCATTTCAAAATTAACCCAATTAAGTGAGTTTTAAATCGTCCTGCTTAGTTTATAAGGAAATTATGAAGAGGAACAAATGAAATGATTTGAAAATGATATCTATGTAGGTGCTGACGCTGTTGGCGGTTTTAGTGTTAACGGCAATTTAAATTAAATATGTGTAATGGCATTTCTGCCTTTTTGAACAGACTTTATGAGTCCTAGCTATATTGTCTGCAGTTCTAGGGTTATTATTAATCTGTCATCGGTCTAAATTAGATTTCAAATGATTAACTGTGTATGTAATGAAGATCATAGTGTGGGTTGAATCCATTTTCATAACCACTGTCTTTTAACTGATTTAAATGTGGAAACTGGGCTTATTCATCAGAATTTCGTATGACTTGACTTGACTTGCTTGACTCTCACCACAGTGACTTGGGACTTGCTTGATACTTGTAGGTCAAGACTTGAGACTGGCACATGACTTGCACATGTACATTAGGACTTACTCCCACCTCTGCTCAAATCTATTTAACAAACAATTGTGCTGTAATACCCTTTTCAGCATACAATATTAATTAAAGTGAAGTACAGTGCATAAATCCCTAATATCCCTTCACAGAACTAAAGTAGGCTTTTAAAAAAGGTTTAATGAGATGATGGGATCAAAGCTGAACTGTATAACATAAAAAGTCAGACATGCACATAATAATATTTTATGCCATTGTTTGTTTTTCACTTTGTTCTGACAGCTGAACTTGTCTGTGTGAATTACTTTGTGGGTAAGGGTAGATAGCCCCCATTGTTCTGTGACCTGTCAATCATCAAACCGGGGGTCGTATTTCATTATGTGTTCATTTTTATCTGAAGTTGTACCCATGGATGTATTAAAGAAGAGTTCTTCCGCAAAGTTATTCTCCGTGGGGACTTCCGGCAACAATCTTGATTCTGATTGGCCAGAAGACTCGAAAAACATCAGCAAAGATGTTTTATTGAGAGGATGATCACTACGTGACAGAAGTTTTCAAAACCGTTCATGGTCTCCGTACTTCCAGTCCAACGCCTACTGCATGCACAGGGTTAGAAAATCGGGCCTTCAAAATAAATTCAAGTTCAACACCAGTCGAGAACCACTGATATAGAGGACTGTCAAAGCACAGCAAGTCTTTTCATTCAATCCTTCTGCTATGCACTTCATACGCAACACTATGCAAAACCACTCTAGGTTATGGTTCTACATTAGTCTGAGGCCATTAACATAACATGAAACGTAGACTTTCCATTATGAACAAAAAGTCATTTTCTTAAAAGCCACTCCAACATAATTGAGCACCACCACATACAACTGCTTCTGAATGGAATCATGTCATCAGGATATTTTAGAAAATGTCTCATTTCTTAAAATTGTCTATTTTGTTGACCCTCTTCCAAAGTTTATTTGCATTGTTTATCCAGCAGTCCAGCTGATTGTTATGCTAAGCTGAACATGTAGCTAATCTTAAAAGTAGCTCACAGTGTTGGGTCAGTCATCTAAATGCAGTTGGAGTCTCCCAGATGTCTTGAGTTCTCTTTATCTACTGTTTCTTCACTCATTATTTGCTCTCCCTTTTATTTCAATCTCATGTATTTCCCCAATTCCTTTTTCTTGTCCATATCTTATTAACAACTTTTCAACCTTCTTGACTTTGTCATTACCCTTTTTTTCTCGTCCCTCTGCTCTCTATAGAGCTCTCAAATTTGTGTGGGTTTTCAAATCATTCTCTTATTCTCTTTGCCATCTTCCTGTTCTCACCCCATCTCTTTCCATTTCGCCCTACGGCTCCTGCTCCCTCAACCTCTCATGTCCTTTCACATCTCTCTCTTTTCATTTGGCTGGCTCCCGTCCTCCCTCTGCCTCCCTCCCTCTCTCTCTCTTTTACATACTCCTGATGCGCTCCTGCTGGCCCCGGTCTGTCCGAAGGGATTAATTGATAGTGAGAGATAATAAATCTTCCCATTAGGCGAAAGGCTCCTGCCCATCGCTCATTATGCGCCCACTGCTCCTCAACGCTGTGGCCTGGGGTTTCCCCTTGCTTTCTCAACATGCACGTCTGCCGTCAGTAGCCGGCAAGGTTAAACTCTGCCTATTGCAGTCGATGGCTACTTCACCTCACAACACATATTCAGCCATGAACACAATTGAAGGCACACACGTTCATTCCTTCCGCTTTTTCTCTGTAGTTTTGCAATACTCTGCTTTCTGAAGCGAATGTTATTTTGTATATATTGATGGTTTTGCTTTCATTTAGGTATTAATGTGTGCATGTGTATACATGTGTCTTTTGATTGTGTATAGATATATATATATATTTGCATACATATTTTTATACATTTGTTTTTGTATTCGGGATTGTGGGAAACGGTATTTCGATCTCTCTGTCTGTACACACAAACTGAAAGATTGACAATAAAGTTTACTTTGACTTTCTACATGGACCTGAGTGGCCTTACATCCAGCTGTTGCATGCTTGCTGTTTCTATACTTGTATATTTGTATACTCAAAATGTAAAAAATAATCCTTGCTTTTTAAAAAGGCTCCTTTTGGTTTCTTCTTATAAGGCAGTGTATGTTACCTCGGAAAGGTTTCATGGTTCTGAATAACTCTGTGTACCTGTCCCTGAGACACTTTTGAGAGACCTTTTAGATGTTCAGCCTTCAAAGGTTCCTTCATTTCTTTTTTTGGTCACAGAGAGCTGCCGTATGCATTAGTCTGTTTTGAAGTTACCAACCTGTATTATGCTACCTACCCAGGCAGCTGTTTGCTCATCTCTTCTTAGTATCTAAATCATGTCATTGTGAGTTTTGTAGCATAATCTGTTTTGCTTTGTTTGACCTTAATAGTAAATGTGGCAACAAACATTGTCAATATTAATCATGCTTATTAACCAAGGTGTGTGTTTACCATGTCTATGTGCCCCTTCAATTTGACTTTCAGTCACATAATGCTGCTCCCAAATTGAAAATACAAAATTGTTTGGCATTCAATAATAGGATCAGCATGATATTTTTTAAACAAAACCTTGCTGCACATTGCTTGTTATGTGTACTTTGCACAATAGGATATTTAATCTGAATACAAGCGGTGCACAATTTGGGAATCTTAGTTTTCTTCAAAGTCAATGATTCTAAAATTGTTATTATGGTCCATTACAATTGCTTGCTTTTAATGATTCACTGTGCTTTTGATGTTCATTGGTCGTACCTTATATTTAGATAGTGCTGTGATCCCTGCTGTCATTGATCAAATATAATCCACGTTAATCTAAATGTATCATGTTGCTATGATCCGGTAATAAATGGTAATGCTACATTCAGCCTAAAAACCTAATAATTGCTTGATTGTAAGAATCTACTTACAGGGCAAATATAGTGATGGTAAATATCCAACTATAAGGAACTCACATTTCACGTCTCCATGCCAAATGTTGAAGTTTTTTGCATGGTTCAAGCTTCTTCCTTCGGGCCGGAGGTTACTTGTCCCAAGGAGTAGAACGAAGCGGTATAAAAACAGTTTTATCCCAGCAGCTATTGCACCAATTAACATATCATACACTCTTAGCCCGGCTTAGTTGACTTTACTAGAAATTCGCGTGGAAACCCGTTGCCTTAAACCACTTAAGTTTTTTTAAGTGTGTTAAGTTTTAACCTGTTAAGTTTCTTGCTTGTGTAAAAACGTAACAGGTTACGTTTTTACACAAGCAAGAAACTTAACAGGTTAAGTTAATAGGATAAATAGGACTAAATAGGATTATTGCAATGCACATTTCAGCTAAATAGTGCAAACAACTCATTTGCTTTAGTAATGACAGTCTTTTTACAAAACATGAACGGCATTATTAATGACAGCTTAACATTTTAATTTCAATAAAATCCGGGTTTAGAGTGTAGGAGCGTCACACAGATGCCTATTTTTATTTATTTATTTAATTGTGAATTTTGAATGTCCATGTTTGTACTAGTGTTTTCCTTCTTAAAATGTTTTTTAAATATGTTTGAGATTTGGTTGAGCAGGGTATACTTGTACTTTTACTAGTCCTTTTATTTGAGATGTGTATGTTGTTTGTGTTTATTTTTAGTGTCAGGATGGAACCCTTGTCTTTTTCTCTGCAAACATAATCTACCTACGGGTACAAATAAATAACCTAACCTAATGGTGACAAAACGCCAATCAATCAGTAGGGGAGATACAGTTTGTATTTTTTATTTAAAATGTCATATAACCCATACAGCAAACTGTACATTTGAATTATTCACAATGTGTTAAAAAGAAAATAATTCAACACCTTTTCTATAATATTTAGATTAATTTCCCCATGTTCTACTCGGATGTCAGTCTTTCTAATGTTCTCTTAACACATACAGTTACTAGGAAAACAAAATCGTTTTTTCCCCCCTGTTTTTTTACAAAACCTTACAAAAACTATATTCATAGAAATTCTGCATGTCAACAAAGAAAACCCTGGTTGGTACCAACATATTTATCGTATTGTTCGAGAGGTTTTCTGCCAAATAATATAAGCTGTGCAACTAAAAAGAAAGGTATACATAAAAAGGCATACTGTTGTGACTGCTGGAAAATCTAAACTCATAATCACACACTTCTAATGGAACACAGGATATGTAGCTTACATTTTGAATTACTTTTCTCTCACATTTCATACAATTTTTGTGTAAAATGACATTATTATTCACATTAATTTATAAAAAAGATGTATATATTCAGTAACCAAACTGACTGAATCAGCCAAATCCGAAACCCTGTTGTAATTCCAACAAATTTTGATTATAATGAATTTTTCAATTATTTTCACATATTACTGAGGTGACATACAAGCAAACTTGAGTCTTTGAATCACCTCCATGGAAAGCTACAGTACACATGAGGGTAACAGCAATGTCTTGTAACCACGAGTCAGCCGCGGCCAAAGACAAGGTCCTAATTGGGATTTTAAGAGCAGTAAAGGTCCAGTTACACAAGATAAACCCTAATTCTCCTTATTCTAAGAGTGTCCCCTAAATTCTTTCCATTTCATGTTCACCTTGTAGAAATATCGGTCATCATAAACGAGGATTTACATACAGTTTTCCAACTGGATGATAGTTATCCAATATACTATTATATAATGCATTTCCATTAAATAAATAAAAAAGGTTTAGGGCTGTGGAACTGGGGTAAAGTGAGGAAGTAGGTTAAAGTGACCTCTCTAATGAAATAAATAGCATCTAGAACATATTTGACTGTGAACAGAATTCATTTATAACAGTATAAATTTAGCAAAATACATTTTCTCCTGCTGATCTTATCTACATACTCTACTCTGCAGAAGGGAATCAATAGACAATTATACAGTGGATCTCTACCAAACCAATGCTAACTTTTACAGATTGGACTTTCCTTGGATTATAGATAAGTGTTTTTTTGACTCGACGTATCGACAACGTAAACCTCACAGAGGTTTGCTGGTCGTTCGGCCCCCAGCTGACAGACTCCTTAATCTTCTTACGGCATGACATTTGCTGAAGATATACACTTACTCAAAAGGCATGAAAGTCAACATGACCACACAAAATCATCATATCGTATCTATTCATCACATTATCGTTCAGCATTTTCACGCACTACACATATAGATTTATTCTGTCCACGTTGGGAAATTAAACAGAAAAAGCTTGTGACTTCCAAGTCTGAGATAACCTTCAAAATGTGTTCACAGTTAAAACCAAACCCTCTCAATCAGTTTCATGATGCTACACAATCTGTTTCCTGCCAAAAAGCATTAATCACACAAATTTAAGAAACTGTTCAAACAAGTTTTCAGAAGTAGTTTGTTTGGATGTTTAATAATCCCTTAGCCGCACTTGAATGTTGTTTTATGGATATGGCACCGATAAATGTACATTTAATACAAAACAAAAAAAGTGTGGAGGTCACAGTCTCTAATCTTTTTGTCTCTGTGACTTAAATATATTTTTCTGTGTATTTATAAGTACAGACCTGTTACCATTTGATCAAAGATTAACAAAGAAATGTTTAAAATGTGTTTATATTCTCAGTATTTACCAGATTTTTGGAAATCAAGATCTTCTCATTAAGTTGTTTTCTTGTGTTTAGGAGAGATGTTCTATTTTGAAATCCTTTTTTTTTTGTTATGCTTCCTATGCCAATATTGTTGTCAACAATAATTTGAGATGGCAAGTAAAATACACTGCCACAATTCACATTTGCTTTGTATTAATATTGCCTTGCATGGTTGGAAAAACTGCTCCCCTTAGTCCCATTTAAACCATTCATATTGACTTTGCATTGAAAACAATATTAGCGCTCTATTAAAAACAAAGTGAGAAGGAACTGGCCTGAACTGTACTGAACCTAGATATGATGAATATTCAAATCTTTGGCAATCAATATTTTATCTAATTTCATTATGTTAAAACTCCTTTTGACATAGAATGTACTTTTGCTGAAATCAATCTCTGCATTTATAATGAATTGCTTGTGTGTTACAATATAGTTAATCAACTCCAACAGTTTGGACTCTCCATGGGTTTCCAACAGCAGCGATACTGCAGATACCTTTCCAGCAAACCAAAACATCTCGTCTCATGACCTGTAGCCTATGACTCAAAGATAACCATTGAAGCCTCGAAAAGGTAACATGATTTACTGCCATCAAAAGCCATTTGAAAGCTTGTATAAAACCGGATGAAAGTAGGAACTTGTTTTATCATTTAATTGTGGGGCAAAACTGATCACCAACTAAAACTGCTCTTTGTCCTCCATGTATATCTGTAATTTATTGCCATTCTTAACACCGCCTTTCTTCTTGCTTTTGTCCGTATTTCGTCAGTCTTTTCACTGTTTCCTTGAACAGTCTATATTTTTCTTGTGTTTCTGTGTTGCGCACGTAAACATCAGACTTGAAACCGATCATTTGGGTAAACCGATTTCCCCCAGCCTCTTGCAAATATTACTTTTACCTCTTGTGGTTTAGAATACAGTCGTGAATGTTGTCATACCTGTGTGGCTGAGGCTGCCATTTTGAGATGCCCATGTTTAGTTAGTGTCCCCATGTCATTGTGGTTAATGGTGAATCTGGTTATCCCGTCTATACCATTGTCTCTAGTCTCTGGTACCCCCCCTGACACGCTGCTCAGGAGGCTCTTGCCCTGGGTGGAACACATTGTCACGGGAACACGGGGGTCATCCCAGTGCTGCAGCTCATATTGTCCTTTCCCGGGAGTCGTCGGTCGTTGTAGGCATGCATGTTGATCACTGCATCCGTCTTCGCCATGACTGGAGGCTGAGGCTTGTGTTTCACCCGCCTCTCGTAGGTGAACGACAGTCTGATCTCGTCCACCATGACACTGCACAAAGACCTCTGGGTGAAAAGGGAGGATGAGGGGAGGAGAGCGAGAAGGGGAAAGGGACGGGGGGGTAAATGCCTTAGCTTTAAATTGTTCTGACAGCAGTGAGCGTTGACAGTCTAAAGAGCACACAACATGCATTAGATCATTACAGATGGTGTGTGTGCGCGTCCATGGCTGTCAGCAAAATCAAATCTCACCAGCACCCCACGTAGTCTGGACACGGTTTAATATTGCTCCTGGGAGTTAAGGAGTATGATGCATGAGCATGCGTGCAACTACTTACTTTGCATGATTCAAATTAGTGATTATGAACAGTTAGGAGCTCATGCTATTCTGACATCTCCAATGACTAATAATGGATTAATTCTCTATGCTCCAATTTGCAATTATGCCAGATAAAATAAGCAAATGTTGTGGTGTTATGGCTCAAGTACTCATAGGGATTATCCACAGGCATGCAAATCCCTTTATAACGTGTTTGAACTAAAAACCATGAGTAGAGCACGGCTTTGGGTTAGAGGCTATGTTGAATAAGTGTCATAACAACAAAGGCATGGAAACTTCTGCGCTAAAATTGAGGCTGAATTAAACCGAAATCCTAGTGGAGCGTAATTAAATTAACGTTTGACTTGTTTTCCATCCATCTGAACCACAACATAAAGATGAAATAAAGAACATATCTCATTATGTGTGTAATTTATCGGGATATATACCTGGTCATGTTCTGCAGTCTTCCTTAGCTTGTAGAGGAATTCAGCAATCGCCACAAAAATGGAGAGCACTAGTCCACATGCCAGCACGATGAATAGCCCACCCAGGTTATGAATACCCAAGGGGCCTGTCTCGTGACGCTCTTCGTCTAAGCAGCTGCTCACACTCCACCACTTCTGCCTCAGCATGTGTAGGCGCCCGTCCTCCAAGATGTTTAGGATTGCCATGGTGATTTTGTCCCTGTACGGGGAGCCTGAAAGCAACATAAGGCCCGTTTTTACTTTGGCAGAAACGCCAGCTGGATTCCGTGATAATAAGGCTCATAAACACGGTTTGGCATGCTGTCTGAGTGGTTTCTAAAAATGTATTATGATGCTGCATTGTCTAAAAAGCAATTACTCATCCTCATCCTTCTAAAAGGCAGCAGAAAACGTATAAAAAAGCGGGGGATTTTTATATTGCTCGGTGTCTCAAATGTATTTGCATGTCTTACCTTGGGGAGTGCCGATGCCGTAGCCTTTGCTGTCGATGAGCCCTCCCACCTGGGTCAGGTTACAGTTCCTCCGAGTAATGTAATCAATAGTTGCAGACTCCATAAGGAGGGCATAGTCTGACTTCAGCACTCTCTGAATCCCATCTTCAATAGACTTTACAAGGGAAGTGCTCGGCTTGCTGCTCATAAAGGCCCACATCTTCTCAAATGTAGAAACCTTGGATTTCTGTAGGGGATGGAAAGATCCAGGTTAGATATGTGCATTTAAACATACACCTGACTGCAAGTGAGAAGAACATGGTTCAATTATACAATGCTATTACCACTAAACAAAGGTTGAGCTTGAACAAAATTACCATTGACCAAATAGATTTATATGATTACTTCTACAGATCTCCATCGTCACAGGATTACAGGAAAGTAAATTGAAGCTTTGCGCACATCTTTTCTCATAAGTGCTACCCAAGCAGCAATAATAGAATGCCTCTCCATTAGTCTTGCATCAGGCTATGTGGTATTTCATGCCATTTTATATGAGGTCACATTTATGCCATGTCTAATCGTAGATAATTACTGTCTAAAGACTATAAGCCATTTCAAATTGTGAAAGATGCTATTATAATAAGCCCCTCTTTATGTGGAACTACAGTTAAAACTGAGAAATAATGGTCTGATATTAAAACTTAAAAGCACCAATTAAAATGTATAGCAAGAGCTGCCAAGTTGGCATCTTTGTCTCTAGATTTTAATGATATTTTTTTGACTGTCCAGATGGAGAAGAAGAGGTCAGGAAGGAACATGTCCATATGGCAGCTTAGTACAGCTAAGTGTACAAAATGGCATGCTGTACAACCACCAATTTAATTCAACCTTTTAACAGATGAAAGCTTCTTTCCTTGGAAGCAATTGACTTACTTTCTTGCGCTCTTAATGCTTTGCATAAAATGTGAAACTTCAAATAACAACAGCTCCCTATAAGAGGGGTTCAAATTACCTACAGTACTGGTCAGCAGTGATTGTGTTTATAATGCAACATGCTTATTTTAATTGTATCTTAATGCCATTGACGTTTCAAATGTTACATTATATCAGAGTACCTGCTCAGCAATCACGTAAACATTTACTGGTGAGTTATTTAATGCATCTAGTAGAAGGAAGAATTACAGTGTATTGTGGTGTACTGTAGTATTTTAAAGGTCACCTATCATGCTATTTTGAGGCAATAGCATAGGTCTCAGATATATATAAATATACAAAAAACATGTCTATGAAGTGTTTTGCTCAAAATACCAAACAGATCACCCATTCTAGCCATGCCTCATATCCCTCCATTTCACTTCCTGTTTCAAAAGGGCTGATTTGGGGTATAAAGCTTAACAAAAAAAAAATTTGATAGAAAAAGGGAGGGGTCTGAGCTCATGCGGGACCCGGCAGCTACTGTCTAAACTAAATACTGCGGTGATGAAACGCCATATCATGGATTATCAAGGATTATCTCTGAAACAGTATGGAGCTCAAAGGCTTTCTCTCTTGCCGGTTATACCACAAGGTGAGTTCCTTTTTATTTCCTGCTTCTTCACACACATGCTCTCCAGTACAGGTTAGCTCTGAGTGTTAGCGATGCTAATGTAAACACCGACCATATTACGTCCAAAACAGTGGGGCATTGTTTCTCATAGCAACGTTTCTGATAGGGCCGTGGGTGTAAAGCCAGCCTACATTTCCGATATTACGTCATATCGGACGCAAATCTGGATCAGCTCCGTTATAGCCCCGTTTTTAGAGATTTGGGTACGGAGGAAAAGAGAGAGGGTTTTATTTTCCGACGCTGCGTGAGTTCCCTGACACACCGGGGACACATACTTATGTATAAGAGACATACAAAAGTGCATTTAGCATGATAGGTCCCCTTTAAAGGCTAAGGGGC